AAAAAAAAAAAAAAAAAAAAAGATGGCATCTGGACTTTTTGCTCATGGCCAGTGCTCACAGGTTTCCTGAGTACATGCCAACTGCACATTCCAGGATCCAGGAGAGGGGCCTATGTGAGCTGCTCAAGCCCAGCTGTTGGGAATGACCCCAGCAGGATGAGACTCTGGTATATCAACACATTCTATCTTCAAAAGAATGTCTACAACAGCACGTTCACCAGGATGTTCCACAGCATTGCCTAAGGCCTCTGAAATTGTGTATTCCAGTGAGCCACGTGATTCTGCAGGGATACTTTTTGATCGTTCATTCATTGGTTCACTGTTCCCCCTGCTTTCTCACTCCAATCTAACAACACAGCCTGCTTCTCCTTCAAGGGGAAACAGCATCCGCTGCCATGCTTCTTGTACACTATTCTCAGTCCTGCAGAAGGTCTCCCTCATTTTCGGCCCTCACCACCTCCCCAACCCCTACTCCAGCATTCTCCACACCTTAACCTGGCTTTATTTTCTTATTCTCACTGCCTGATAGATGCTCTATGCTTATTCATGATGTCCCTCCTCCATTGGACTGTAAACTCTATTGGGCCAGGACTTCATCTCTTATTCACTAGAGCAAGCTTGTCCAACCCACGGCCCAGGACAGCTTTGAATGTGGCCCAACACAAATTTGTAAACTTTCTTAAAACATTATGAGATTTCTTTTTTGCAATGTTTTTCAACTCATCAACTATATTGTTAGTGTATTTTATGTATGGCCTAAGACAATTCTGCTTCCAGTGTGGCCAGAGAAGTCGAAAGGTTGGACACCCCTGCACTAATGTCTGGCTCATTATAGGTGTATTAAATGAAGAACTCTGGAGTTTGGCCAGGCATGGAGGCTCATGCCTGTAATCCCAACACTTTGGGAGGCCAAGGTGGGAAGATCACTTGAGCCCAGGAGTTCAAGACTATCCTAGGCCACATAGTGAGACCTAGTCTCTACAAAAAAATACAAAAGTTAGCGATTTCACACAAGAACACCCAGTTGTTGAGGGGCATAGCCACGAAGTGAAGTCTCCCAAGTCATGTGCCATAGATTAAATTGGGCAGACTCCCCCGGTGCAGCCATAGGCTGTGATGGGGAACACGCAAGACAATAATGAATTTGCAATTCCTTTTGCAAGCTTCAAATGCCACCACTCCTGGCATTTATTTATTTATTTATTTATTTATTTATAGATGGAGTCTCGCTCTGTCACTCAGGCTGGAGTGCGGTGGCATGATCTCAGCTTCCTACAACCTCCGCCTCCCAGGTTCAAGTGATTCTCCTGCCTCAGCCTCCTGAGTAGCTGTGATTACAGGCGCCTGCCACCACACCCAGCTAATTTTTGAGTTTTTAGTAGAGACAGTGTTTCACCATGTTGGCCAGGCTGGTCTCGAACTCCTGATCTCAAGAGATCCACACGCCTCAGCCTCAAAGTGCTGGGATTACAGGCTTGAGCCACCGCGCCCGGCCATTTTCTTGTATTTTTAGTAGAGACGGGGTTTCACCATGTTGGTCAGGCTGGTCTCAAACTCCCGACCTCAGGTGATACACACGCCTCAGCCTCAAAGTGCTGGGATTACAGGCATGAGCCTAGCTCCTGGCCATTATTTACTGGGCTTCTCCATGTGTCAGGTGTTTAGCGCATACTGTCCCACTAAAGTCTCAGAACAGATCTTCCAAGGAAGAATTTTTTCA